AATATCTTCAATTAGATCAAGAATATAGTCAAATATATCATAAAATCGGATTAATATTTATTTTATATGATAAGACAACTATCCTTAAGCAAAAACAGCAAGAAATCCCGGTTTTCCCTCCTTCTGACGAGCCGACTCGCCGAGTCAGGAATGGACTCGTCGAGTCACCATGGACTCGGCGAGTTCATCTATGGACTCGGCGAGTCCAACCTCCAGAAACACAAAAATCGAATTTTTCACTTACATCAAGCATCAATACAATAGAAACCAATCAAGGCTCTCATACCACTGATGGGTTTTGGTTATAAGAACATCCTATGTGCTCATACAAACCCTAATGCTTGGATCTAGGTTTCTCTATTGGACATGCAAGTTATCCAAGACTATAAACCCTAATTCTAGCATACAAGTAATCATATTAACATAAGAATGGGTTTAAGATCATACCTTGATTGTTATGTAGCAATAACAATCTCAAATCTCCTTGTATTGACTTTAGAAAGCTTAGAGTCACAAATGTCACTCCTCTAATGGTTCATAAACACCATAAGCAAGAGGATGGAGGCTGCCCAAAATCATCTTCAAACCCTAGAGAAGTCTTAGCCACGTTTTTTGGTCATAAGGGGTCTTTATATAGTAAGGCTATTAGGGTTATCTAACAAGGAAACCCTAAAATGAATGTTTAAGCCCTAAGCAACCCATGGAGCCCTTTCCTCAAGGCCTTACACGATTTCATATGGGCTTCCCCATAGAATTCGTCCACCTTATAATATAAGGCAATCCATGGCCCAAATTGCAATTATCTTATAATTACAATTCCAGTTCCTTAAGTTTAATTAATCTCTTTTAGTCACAAAACTAATTACCAAATAATTATTGACTAATATTAATTAAACAATATGATTTCTCCTTTAATATATTATTCTCACAATATATTAATAAATCATATTTAATCCTTTCTCTCCATAATTTATCCTATCAAGTTGCTTTCGTGAAGGCAACCCAAAAGGACCATGCACCATCGGGTCAAGTACATACCAAAATAGTTATGGACTTAGACACTAATCCAACATTATCTTCTGTTAATATGTTGCTTGACATGTAAAACTCATTTTCATATACAGAAACATAACATACAATAACATAAAAATAAACATCACATGCATGCATTTTAATATGTATAAATCAAGTCATGCCTATTAGACATATTTTTAAGTCATCACAAACATTATTAAGTCTTTCCTAAAGGACTTAATGGACACTTTAAAAAGTCTTTAAGCTCCCACTTGCCAAGTCAACTATTACTCGCAAAAGGACTTCAAATTTTCATGTTGTGAATGTTGCAACACTTAAACCATTAAGAATATAATTAAGCCCAAAACCAAAAGTAGAAGCTCAGTGTTGGATTATGGTCTTAAATGGTTAAGTAATCTTCAAGGAGGTCATTTCTTCATCTTGCTACATTTAAAAAGAAAGACAGCTAGTCTAACTAATTTGTTACAACAAATCAACAAATGAAAAATTACCTATTTTTCTATTACATCTTATGAATAAATAAAAATCAACCATACACAACACAAATGTCCAAATGGATTGTTTATACACAACAAAATATCAAATATTATCACAAAAAAACTCTTTATTTTTTCTAAGGCAACATATCAAATATTATAAAAATAAACAATTTTAATCAAGACGTTACCAAAGAAGAAAAATATAGATTTTTATTAACCAAAATAAATTCATGCTTGTTTTCAAAAAACCAAAAATTATCAAACACAAAAAAAATCATTTAAGAATATAAAAGACGGTTGTGATACGACCGATAGATTTTGATACAAAATATAAGTTAGTTTTCATAAAAATCGGTTAGCAGAAGTGTTTAAAATAAAAGGTTTATTTTTATTTCATAACAAAACCAAACTGCCATGGATCAATTTAGAGAGTTTAGAATGAAATAAAAAAACATAACCAAAGAGTCTTTACAATGACAACCTTTAAAGCCTTTAAAATAATTTCGTTTTGAGGTGTTGATGAAGATGTAAATACCAAAGAATATGATCTTCTCTACAAGTATCCATCATCAAGAGTAGGGACATGGAATTCTAGTTCCTTCTTGTATTCTTGAGTTTGTTAAGCCTTTAAATGGTTAGCTCAAATAAGCACTAAAGGAGACAAGCCAAGAAGGCTTCTAAACCACCAAACTAACTTCAAAAGAAAGAGAGGGAGAGAGAGAGAGAGAGAGAGAGAGAGAGAGAGAGTATTTTCATCCATATGGCTTAAGAGGAGAAAATAAGACCAAAAATTACCAAAAATCATGCAACACTAGTACAAAAAGATTTTTTTGAAGCGGTTAAAAAGATTAATAGATGCGGTTATTGAACCGCCTAAAAAATTCTTTTATTTACTGATGCGGTTATAAAACCGCCCAAAAAAATAGAACAATCGCACCAAAAAACAAATGCTTTTTCCATTAAGAAGGAGTTCAAACGCACTATTAAATGCCAAAACCGCTCCATTAAATAAATAAATAAATAAATAAAACCCTGAAGAGCACGACCATTACAAAGAGAAACCGCTTAATTTACAATACGGAAGCAAAACAACAAAAAATCATAAATGATGTAAATGCATAAACCATACAATTGAAGGAGATTCAAATTATTTAACAAAAAATCCCATTCATTTCTAACATTTTCATCCTTGTCTATGTTTACAATTTGATATAGTAACTACATAAACATTAAATTACAGGTATGTAAGCAGTTTAGGAAGGTAACTACATAAGCATATTCAAGTTTTCTGATATAGATATGTTCAGTTTCGTCATCATCATCTTCATATGGCCGCTTTTCGATATCTTGTAGACTTTTTGAGATGATGTCCACCTTTGAATCTATTACCTGGCGTGGGTAGGAATTCAGAAGATAAATTACAAAAGAATTCTATCAAAATGCATACAATCCATTTAATCAAAAGGTAAATTACACAGGTTATAAAGGTTACCAACACAATGGAAAACCTTTTTATAATTTTAATTGTCGTTGATAAAAGACATGTGGGTGTTTTATTAGGTTTTATCCACCTTTATATCTTCCCCTACAAAGATATGTGCTCACTTTTGAACGTCAAAAGCTTCTTTGCCTAATCCATTCTTTCTTTCACACCCTAACTTATGAAGTCGGAGTATCAGACACAAGATTAAGTAATTTTATGAATCAAAGTTATAAATCAGAATATCATACACATACCTGATAGTCTTGATGATGGACAAAGATCATTATAGTAGAGGTTGACGCCTCAAAGAGACTTCAGATTCATCACCCTGTTGACATGAAGTCATGAATCGACAATGATGGGATTTCGATCGACCTAAATCAGAGATGATGGAGGCTGTGGCAACCAAAATCGATGATTACGCGGACACGGGTGACATAACTCAAGGATGTTGGTGAGGGCGGCAGTAGTCAACGATATTAGGGTTGGTGTAGCCGAATGAAATTAGATTAAGGAAATATATAGGGGAATAGAAATGGCATCGCGCGGGGAATGAAAAATTAGAAGGAGCTTTGTCTGGGAATCAAAATATGAGGGAACACAATCTTTTAATGTTGTGGCCTAAACGAACGCACCAATAAATGTTTTTTTTTTCTAATGCGCTTGTTATAAACCGCACCAAAAAAAATATTTAATAGTGCGGTTCTATGATTTACTAATGCGAAAATAGCTTTTTTGGTGTTTAATGATGTGGTTTTTGCCTGTAACCGCTCCAAAAAAAAACCCGTTTGCACTATTAAATACGTTTTGTACTAGTGCAAGACACATCCTTTATAAACTCCATTAAAATTAAGGTCTAACCATTAAAATAATCTAAAGTATTTTTAATCTTTAGAAACATTTGGAGATAATGCATGGAGGTTGACAAACAATCTCCATATTATTTTATTAATTTTGGCCATATCTCTCAAAAGATGATGGATTCTTTAATTTTTATAAATTTTAAGTTTATAAAATATAAAGTTTATTTTTAGGTAAAAGACAAAAGAATTCAACTAGTCTAAAATGCTATGCATAATTCATTAATTCATACCATATGAAATAATAACTAGGTATACTCTTTTATAATTATCATTTTCACAAAACAATAACTATTCTCAAATTAAAATATAAGAATCGATATCATTTATTAATAATCACATTAATAATAAATATACAAAATGTTCCAACTTGATAAATGTGTGACTATATGAATATAAATTATTAGTGATATCACTAAATAATGATTAATGGGCATATAAATTCAACAGATTTCAATATTAGATTTGAATTATGTGGCAAGTCTATTTGTCATTTAATAGATTCAACTTTACTATAATGAAATGTTATTTTGACATTTAATGGATTTGGACTTCAAATACCATTAAACTTTTCAATGGAAAATGAATATTTTTAATTCTTAATTTATGCTATGAATTAGTTTTTGTAATTTTTTATTGAACTTTGGAGAGTTCAATGCATTATAACAAAAAATTGATCGAGTTATATGGAATGTAAAAAAATGATATAACAATACATTAAACTTTATTGAATTTAATGCATTGTGAATGCCCTAACTACCAATAGTGAGAACATAATTGATTAACCGAATAAGAAAATGAAGCTAACAACCTATACCTCAAGGATAATTAACAACTCTAGAAAATGAATTGTTGTAAATCTGATTTCCATTTATTAAGAGACAATAAACACATTAAATTATTGCTCCACCGAACTATCGTACTACTTGCAAACACCATAAAAGAATTAATAATAACAATAGCGAAGTCATAGATGCTATATGGAAAATATATCATTACATAATAAACTACAATGTGAAGGGCTATAAAGGAGAGAAAAGGAAAAGGACAGGATAAAGAAATCCGATGGCTTTTGGAAGGCTTTTCTACAAAGTTAAATTCTTAATATATGATCTGCTAGTAATTCTAGCATCGATACTTTTTGGTTGCTCAATTATTGATATGAGAAAATTATTATATAGTTTTGCTAGTGTATTTGACAAACACTAAACGACCACATCCCAAAATGTGTACTGCGAATGGGATACCATACACTCATTTCTTAATACATGTATTCAGCGTAGATTGAACTATAATATTAGATACAAATCGAAATGAAAATACTACCTGTCAACAAGAGAAATAATATCTTACAACCATTTGGACAACTTTTGGTATTCCAATCATCAACTGTCCCATGTATTGTCCTAATGATGTTTTGCATGCCTCAAACAAAACGCTTTCAGCCTCCCAATTGCATCTTCTAGTACTTTTGGCTCTGCTGCAAAACTCACTAGAAGCCAGTTTTTTAAGCCAACAGCATACCCTGCCGTGATTTGTCATAGTAATACAAATATGAATAATAATAATACTAACATTAACGAATGAGGTAATTTAATCTTTAAGATACTTTTAAGTACGTTATTGATCATACCCTGTAGAAGGATCATGGATTCCTCTTTAGCCAACTTCACACAGAAGTCTGTATCATCAACTACATCATAAAACCCTGATAGATTTAACTGCACCTGTACAACCATTATCAGATGACTTTTAATTACATATTCTATTTTACGTAAATTAGTTATCCCGCACAAATTTTTACCATGACAAACGTAGATCCCTCGGGATTGTGTGGACATGCAAGAATTTGATTAGAAAGAATGATTGTTGTAGAGAGAAAATTAAACCCTAGTTTTGTGAAAAATATTGGAGCAGTTACTGCAATCCATCCAAAACGCCACCCAGGAACGATCGCTATTGCACCAAATACTCCCATGAGGATAAATGGTTTTTCTCCGAAGACTTGATGGGCATAGCACAAACTTCGTCTGCAATCACCAGAATTCCAAGTTTTCTTGCTGTTTCTGCAATCTTTCATCATGAACAAGAAAGATCGTCATGACAAATATTAACCAAATAGCTTGTACAATTTTTATTTGTCTTCTAAATCTGTGTGTTTGGTTCTACAATTTATATAAGGGTTACCAATATATAGGATCTAGGGTTTTGGTGTAAAGTACTGCAGCTAGCACGTTATAATTAATATTTAAGAAAACACTTACAGATTCCCTTTTGCATATAAACATTATAATCTTTAAGTATATGAGTTGCAGACAGTAATCACACCTTTTGCATATGCTCGACTGTACTAAATCTGGCTCGAGCTTAATATGTTGGATAATTAGGTCTTAGGAAAGAGTATATTTGGACTAGGTCTAGCAAGAACAGTTAGTAACACATGAGACCTTCCACATCTGCGTCTTTTAAAATTGTTTTGTAATGGCACTAAGCAATATTTTGTCGGTTTTGTCCAAAGTTGAAATTTACCATTATATTAAATTCGCAAAAAAAACCCCTTAAGTTTACCATTTTTTGCGTTTTTATCCTTAAGTTTATAATTTTTTTACACTTTTACCCTAAGTATATTTTTTTCATAATATACATATTCATGCAGAAAAATCGTATTTATATACGAAAAAATGTTTAATTAAATATTGTATTTATATTTTTTTAATGTTATATATATATATATATATATATATATATTTGTTTGTGTGTGTGTGTGTGTTTTTCCATAGTTATACCATTTAAAAAGATAAACAATATTTTTAGAATTATAAAGATGTGTTTTATAGATATAGTTTTTAGAAGTATAAATACATATTTTTACATTTTTATATATTAATATGTATCTATACTTCTAAAAATACATATTTAAACTTCTAAAAATATATGTATATACTTATATAAACATGTTTATGAATAAATAAGTTTTTTTTATTGATATGTATATTCTTAAATACATAAAAATACGTATTTGTAGTTCTAAAAGCATATTAATTTTTTTTACATCTTAAATAGTTTATCCAAGAAAAAAAATCCACACACACACACACACACACACACATATATATATATATATATATATATATATAATTAACATTAAAAAAATGTAAATACAATATTTAATTAAATTGTTTTCGTTTATAAATATGATTTTTCAGCTTGAATACGTATAATATGAAAAAAAAAAAATACATAAGGTAAAAGTATAAAAAAATTATAAACTTAGGGGTAAAAATGTAAAAAAAAAAACTGTAAACGTAAGGGATTTTTGCAAAGTTAATATAATGGTAACTGTTATCGCCGGTAAAAGGGTATAACCGAATATTTTTTGGAAAATGTAAGGGTAAAAACGGACATAAAATTCAATTTTCGGCAAAACTGACAAAACCCTGAAAACTTGAGGGTTTTTATGACATTAGCCCTTTTTTATTCAACCTATATTAACACTACAAAGATCGTACGCTATGCAAACAACAATTTTGAGCTCTTTCCAGACGACTTCTCGTCTCTAAAGCCTATACAGACGACATGTGGTCAGTCCAGACGACATGTCGTCTATAAAGGGTCATCGGGAAAGATTTTCAAGGAAATTTGAAAAAGTTTATTCGGACCCTATAGAGACGACTTCTCATCGGTAAAAGTGTGACCCTATAGAGATGACTTGTCGTTTGGACAAGTGTGAGCTATAGCGACGACTTGTCGTTTGGAAAAATTGATCAATGAAGACGATATGTCATTTGGAATGTGAAAACCGTTTTTACAGTTGGAAAGCTATACCGATGACATATCGTCTCTATTGCCTTTTTTTTCTAAATAATTTCCACAGGTTTTGTTATATATACCATTTAAAACAAATCCAAAAGGGATATTTTCAGAATAATATAAACATAAGATAACATACCATTAAAATCCAAAAACACTTAATAAACATAACATGCCAATCAAATTCTACTACATAACAAAATAACAAAAAAGCAAGTTTTTAACAAACATTGTTGTCAGTGTCATTCTAGTTCTCCTCATCATCATCATCACCACCATCATCAAACAAAATAACAAAAAAAAAAAGTTTTTAACAAACATTGTTGTTATTACCATTCTAGTTCTCCTTATCCTCCTCCTCATCATCCTCATCACCACCATCATCAACATCATCATCATCATTCTTCACGAGTTCATTTGATGTTTCGGGGTTATTTTGTGGAAACATATTGGGATTAAACTAGAATTGTAGCATTGGTTGTGGTTGGAAGTTTGAAATGAAAGACGTGAATGTGTTATTAAACATTTGGTTCATTTGTAGCATTTGTTGTTGCATGATTTGAATTTGTTGGGATAATACGGAAACTTGGGGATTATCTGAAGATTGGGATGTTGAAGCTTCGGAACGTTTGGTATGTTCATTGGAAATAAATTATTGTTGGTGCTTGGTTTCCTTCCAATTCCACGAATATGCCCACGTCTCTCACCGAGGGCACGAGTGAGGCATTGTTCTTCATTTAACTGTTCATTCTCCATAAGTTGTGATTGCATCAACATCCTCTCTCGTTGAATATTTCCCTCTCTCGTTGAAGACATTCGGTTCTCTCTAATCCAAATCTTATCGATCGTCATTATTGTTTCACTATTAAAAATTATATTATACATGTAGTTATCGAAAGATAGATTGTATTTGGGCTATATAAATAAATATATACCCAAGAATGGATAGAGTGTTCACAAGTAAACAAAATATATATACTCGAGGAGTAAAAATAAGACGGATTGGATAGAGTATTCATAATGGTTATGAAAAAAAAAACATAAACAAAAAATCAAAGATTCAACATGTTTTAATATTAAAATCATATTAATTTTATTTTACATTTATTTTTTATTATTTTAATATTAATATTAAATTGATTTTAAAACTAATTTAATTTGATTTTATAATTAATTGGATTTTGTTTTAAAATTAATGTTAATTTGATTTTAAAACTAATTTAATTTGATTTTACAATTAATTTAATACTTTATTTTTTTTTTTAATTAATTCAACTTTACTTTATAATTAATTTAAAATTACTAATAGTACATTGCTATTAATAACCTAATTAAGGTAAAGTCATAATGACCAACATTAAGTCACTATCAAAATTAAGCACTTTGAACCATATTAAGCACTTTACAACACAAAAAATAGCATCTAAATACAAAAACCATAACTTCTCAATTAACAAAAGTATCATAATTTTGTTAATTATAACATCATACTTTTGTTTATTTTCTATTATAGCATCGTACTTTAATATGATATTACATAATATTTTTGTTTAAAAAATTTACCGTTTAATTTGATTTTATAATTAATTTTATTTATTTTAATATTAATATTAATTTGATTTTAAAACTAACTTAATAAGATTTTATAATTGATTTTGTTTTAAAATTAATATTAATTTTATATTAAAGCTAATTTAATTTGATTTTACAATTAATTTAATATTTTATTTTTATTGATTTTTTTTAATTAATTCAACTTTACTTCATAATTAATTTAAAATTACTAAAAGTACGTTGCTATTAATAACCTAATTAACCTAAAGTCGTAATGACCAACATTAAGTCACTAACAAAATTAAACACTTTGAAACCATATTAAGCACTTTACAATACAAACAATAGCATCTAAATACAAAAACTATAACTTATCAATTAACAAAAGCATCATATAATCATACATGTATACAATACATTTAATTCTAATTTTCATTTCATTGTAGGCACACAATACAAAATGTACACATCTAAATACAAAATCAAACATCATACAAAATCATATCAAATATACAATTCCAGTTTCATCCAATTTCATACAATCAAACATACAATTCCAATTTTCATCCAATTTCAAAATCAAACATACAATACAAAATTTCATCGAATTTCAAACATACATTTAATTTCATACACTCATACCACAATGGGCATAAACAAATCATGCCTATATAACTTCATTTTCATTTTCATGCCAAAATACACTTTCATTCCTCAAAATGCATATATATATATATATATATATATATATATATATATATATATATATATATATATATGTATATAAACACCGCATTTATGCATTCCCGTTTCCTTAAGCAGGGAAAAAATAAAAAAACCAACCTTAAAATCGGTGGTGAAGAGAGGTATATCACCAAAAATTGTTTTCTATAGCGGTGCTCACCATTGTCCGGCCAGCATCAGTGTTTTAGGTCTCCATAACCGGAAAAAAAATCCCCCAAAATTGGAATAAAAACTCAATCTAATACTAATTAAGAAGAAATCAAGGACAAAAACCTTACCTTTTAGCCGAATAATGAAGTTGAATGCTGGAAAAGACCTGGGATCACTGAAGCAATTGAGAGTAAAATGCTTGGGCAGTCGACTTGGAAATGAAGCCTGAAAGGGTTTTTGTTACAACGAAACCCTATAGCGACGACATGTCGCCTCTATAGGTAGACAAAAACGGCATTGTTCCACTTCGTTTCATTAATAATAAATAATAATAAATAAAGGTTTTCACGCGGATCAGTCCCACTTTTTCCTGACGCCATGTCATCTGGATAGCTTGACCAAAATGACACCATATTCCGTTTTTGCAAGCCGGATAAAAAATAAATCAAAATTAATTTTTAAATACCCTATAGAGACGACATGTCGTCTGCATAGGCTGACCAAAACGGCATCGTATTTCTTTTCTGCAACAAAGAATTAAAATAAATCGAAAATATGTTTTTATTTCCTCCTTCCGACGACATGTCGTCGGTATAGAAATTCGATATACCGCCAATATTTTGCCCCTTCCCGCCCAGCCTATGCAGATAACTTGTCGTCTGTATAGCTTTTATGATCAACACTATATGGTCAATGTTTGAAAACTATGTCCAGACGACATGTTGTCTCTATAGATCGAATTTTGCCGACGACATGTGTCGTCTAGATAGGTTTCATCTGCAAAGGATTAGATTCTTGTAGTATAATGATGTTAGGCGAATAAAGATGCAACTATTTTTAATCAATATATCAACTTTCTATCCATTTGATATATATTGGCTTTTTAATCAATATATTAACTTTTCCATCAAGGATTGTACACAAATAACATTTGCAATTAATTTGCAAGCAACAATGATGTGGGTGCTCTGAATAGCATTTTCTACTCTAATGGTAAGCAAAACGTCATCAGTTTTAATGTGTAAGGAATATCTCTCGATAGGTACTCGGGAATAGTCCTATTGATAAAATAATTTATTAATAACTTTGTTTGAAAACCACCAAAAAAAACTTGAGATTTCGGAAAATATGTAGATCCAAAATATGAAATTGAAGAAAGGTATGTAACCTTCTT